AATTTATTTAATTATGTTATGTAATTGTTGAGATATGCAATTTTTTGTCACCGCCATTTTTTTCTTAACACACTGTAACCAACTCATGTCTTCTTTTGGTTCAGTAATCCTTTACATGACATGATTTAGAACTATGAAATAGTGCAAGAATTATGATTAACATTTATAAATGTACCTTCTAACAAATTAAATAAAATACAAAAGAATAATTTAAATAAATGTTTTACTCATCCAAATCACTAACCAGAATATTTAACAGAATGTGGGCTTTCTATTATTATTATTTATGGTCCCTAACAGTTGTTAAATGATTTAATTTAAGTTTATTATTTTCGGTGAACATATGATTTTCTAATTGCAAAAAAGACTTCTATAACTAACTTCTGAATTACTTCACTTTTTACTGAATTACTTTGATAGTCTATAAATAGAAGGTGAGAAATCAGAATATGTTGTTGTTATTGCTGCAAAATTGATTTTGGTGACGCAAGTTGAGTTAAAGTCAGATGACAGTCAGTTTGTATATGAAACATATGTAGTGTAATAAATGCTGATCATTTCTTAAAATTGAATACCCGCTATGTTGGGAGGTGCGAATAACAATTTCCTTAATTAATTGCAACTAGTTGCAACTAATTGTAGCATATAAAAATTGAATTGTGGTTGCAGTTGTGACATATGAAAATTGAATGCAGCTAATTGTGGTTCCCATATTTAACCTAGATACATTAAACTTTGTCTGTAAAACTCCCTAAATTAGTAAAACATGATAAAAATAAAGAAGCAAAGAATATTTCAAAAATTTTGTATAACAGGTTTTTGTTATGGTCATCATTCCACCCTTAACAGTGGCTTAATTATTTTAAACATAAATTTTATTTATACAATAAAAGAGATGGAAGGGATATAAAATAAATACCAAAACAATTCAATTCATACTGTGAGATTGTCCAAGCCTTACCCAAAATTTCCAAAATTTTATTTATACCAGTATTCTAATACAAACTCAATTTCACTATTCTTTAACTTACTAATCTTAATATGCGATTGCTTTTCTTTACAAATACAATCAATAATTTCAATAACTTCTTTGGCTATCAATCCCCAGGAATGGCTCCTATCCCTGTTTGCATTTTCTCAGCAGTCCTTTGTTATCTGCCTGAGTTCAAATATTATCATTAGCATCATTACATTGAGCCCTACTCTTGTATCTTCAGTTCAGATTTAACTGGTTTTTTCATTAATCTTAGGCTTCAACCTAAGTTCTACTAAAAAGAAATAAAAATAAAAGAAATAAATATATTTAACAAATATGTCTACTGGTAAGATAGTAATTAATTAAATAATTAGTTAGATGGGTTTAGCAAAAGAATCAATCCTTCTGCTGACAAGAGTTTTTTAGTTAGAATATAGTTTTATTATTATGTTTATTATTATTACTAAAATATATGTTATTATTAGATAAAGATATTACATGAAGTTAAGAAAATTACAATGTTATTTATACATGTTAAAGGTTCAATCATTTAGTTCTCTGATCTCTTTGAAATCCTAATTTGTTCTAATTAAATATACTCCTTAAACATAATTTGAACCTTCTCTGTAGAATTATCTTCAAGTTATTTCTGGTGTGAACAAGTAATTTTAAATTTCTTTGTTAAATTTAATCTAGGCCTATTACATTTTGGAATGTTGGAATATGGTATTTATTTTCCGAATCGATTATTCTATTGGTTCACTATTGCTATGTTGATCGTGTAACAGTTGATAAATTGTACCGGTTTTATTTCTTGTTTGGTTTTTCCGTGATGATCTCTTCCAGTTACAATTTTTCATTTCACGTAACTCGTAAATCATTTCCGATTTATTTATTAGTTTCCCATGATTCACAACTAAATATTTTGCTGGCCTGACATCTTTTCTTTATTTAGTATAAATAGAACTTCTATCTGTTTAAACAGCACTTAACGTTAACATCAATCAATATTAATATCAATATATATCAACATTAACGTTACACGACACAATCATTTTCGTAACACTTAAGTTTCGAAAAATTCCTTTTTAAAATTCATATTTTTTCGTCAATAAATAAATATCTATAAATTTATTACTAAATTTAAAAATGGGTGTTCCAGCATTATTCAGGTAATTCTTGTTGTAAAGATCTATTTGTTTTCCAGCAGCAACAGCAAAGTTTCATATCAAATCCATTGCATAATAATAATAATATAGATGGCTTTCAAAAAAATATCCCAAAATCATTCAACAAGTCATCGAGGAACGACCGATTATGATAAATGGTGTAGAAATACCAGTTGATACATCAAAGCCAAATCCAAATAAGACGGAATTCGATAATTTATATCTTGATATGAATGGTATTATTCATCCATGTTGTCACCCAGAAGATAAAGTTAGTGTGTTGATGTTATCATGGGCTTATTTGATTTTTTGATTATAATAATTAACACATCATTATAATATCATTTTAGCCCACTCCTGAAACTGAAGAAGATATGATTATAGATATCTTTAAATATACCGAACGAATTGTGGCAATGATACGTCCAAGAAAAGTATTATATCTTGCAATCGGTAAAATATCAAATAAAATTTATATTTCATGATTTTTATAATGACAATTATAATTAATTATTTATTTATTTAATATATAGATGGGGTAGCTCCTCGTGCTAAAATGAATCAACAACGATCTCGTAGGTTTAGAACAGCACGAGAAGATAAAGAAAAGGCTAATGAAAAGACTCTAGAAATGGTTGCACTTGAGGGCATGTAGTCATTAATAATTTTAAAAATTATAATAAAGATTTTTAATTCATTTATAATTCAATTAAAGGTTTTTTTTTAAAAAATAGAATCGGGAGTACTGTTTGATGAAGACCTAAAGAAGAAAAAATCATTTGATAGCAATTGTATTACACCAGGTACTCCTTTCATGGCAAAACTCGCTGCATGCTTAAGATATTGGATTGCTGATAAATTGAATAATGATGTTGGATGGAAAAATGTACATACGATTCTATCTTTTAATTTAAATTTTTGGAAAAAAAATTTGATTTTAATACTTATATGCGTCTCATTTACAATAGTTGAAAGTGATATTATCAGATGCAAGTGTTCCTGGTGAAGGCGAACACAAAATTATGGATTTTATTCGTAGTCAACGTACAAGTCCTTATCATGATCCTAATACACATCATGTCATATATGGATTGGTAGGTTTATGGAAGGGATGATACATTATTTTTAATAATTAATTATATAACCTTACCTTTCAATCAAAAAACCATTTTAGGATGCTGATCTCATTATGTTATCATTGGCTACGCATGAACCTCATTTTAAAGTGTTGCGTGAAGATGTCTTCTTTAGAGAAGGCATATATAAAGGATGCTTTATATGTGGTCAAAATGATCATATAGCGAATCAATGCACAGGTTTTTAAATATATCTTTTTTACATTATTTTTATAAAAGCATTTATTTATTTATATGCAAAATATTTTCAAAAACCTTAATAATAATAATAGGAAAAGCCAAACAAAAAGTAGGAGACCATGATGAAAAAGGTAGAGAAGTACTACTAAAGCCCTACGTATTTCTAGATGTGCAGGTTCTTCGTGAATATCTTGAGATAGAACTCAACATTGGACCATTACCTTGGCCTTACAATTTTGAAAACTCAATAGACGATTGGGTATTTATGTGTTTCTTTGTCGGAAATGATTTTCTTCCGCATTTGCCTTCTTTGGAAATTAGAGAAGGTGCTATTGATACACTTATTACCATTTGGAAAAGGTGCTTGCCAATAATGGGCGGATACATGACTACTAATGGAAATGTTTGTAGTTTCTTTTTTGATATATAGATGAGATCTTTATTATACTTGAGATGATCATTGATGAAATTTTCACGACATTTTCCTAAAAATATAGGTTAATTTAAAAAGAATGCAACATCTAGTTACAGAATTAGGAAAAATGGAAGATGATATTTTTATTCGTAGGCAAAGAAGTAAGTAATATAAACACTAAAGATAAAATTATATTATAATTGTTGTTATCATTATTTATTATTATTATTATTTGTGATAAAGACGAATCGAGACGAAATCAACAAAATAATAATAATGTTCCGAAAAAACGAAAAATAAGTCACGATCCAATAACAAGCTATGCTAATCGTAATGCTGCACAATCATTAAGATCTGAACTATTGAATTCATCATCATCAACAACAACTTCAACAGTAGCAATAGTAGAAACAACAGAAACAATAGAAGAAACAACAATAGTAGCTGGAGGAGAAGGAAGAGGAAATGAGGATTATCAACAGGCGGCACAAAGTATTGATGATTTGTTGACTTCTGTTAAAGGTGTTAAACGAAAAGCTGAAGAATTTGATGAAGAAAATGATAAAGACATCGTTGTGGTAAATGAAGAAGCTGCTATTGTAGAGTATCAAGAGGATACAACGACACCTGCTACTGCTGTTACTAATTCAGCTTCAGAAATTGCTGATTCTGCCACAAATGAAGAATCTCATGAATTTATTGATCCTATCAGGTAATTAATAATAATAAGTAATAATTATATGATTAGTTTTACGAATATTATACATATATTTTTATTTACTTTATAATATATTATCATTAGACTTGGAGAACCAGGTTTCAAAAAACGATATTATAAAGAAAAATTTGATGTTGATATATCAGACGAGCCAACCGATGAATTTCGCAAAAAGTATGCTTATTTGCCTAACTTACAATTAATTAAAATGATCAGTTTTAAAAAAAGAAAAAATCAACTACTAATCAATCATATATATTTATTACATTTAAACGAAATACAATAATAATTAGCGTTGTAAAGAGTTATGTTGAAGGATTATGTTGGGTTTTGAAATATTATTTTCAAGGTGTTCCATCGTGGAAATGGTATTATCCGTATCATTATTCGCCTTTTGCATCTGATTTTGTTGATATAGGCGATTTGGATATTAATTTTGAATTGGGTGAACCATTTAAACCATTTGAACAATTGATGGGTGTTTTACCTGCTGAAAGGTAATTAATTTAATGATATTTTTGATATTTGACATTGTGCGCGTGTGAAAAGTTATAATAAATCCAACTAACCATTAAATATATATATATAGTAAACAACATTTACCGTTACCTATACAACAACTTATGACAGATTTAGATAGTGAGATTATTGATTTCTATCCGTCAGATTTTGAAATAGATCTTAATGGGAAACGATATACTTGGCAAGGTAATAAATTTTATGTTTTTTTATTATATATAAATCATATTTTTATAATTTATTTTATGAATATTGTAGGAGTTGCATTGCTTCCATTTATTGATGAATCCAGGTTATTAAAAGCAGCCGAATCAGCCTATTCTCAATTGAGTGAAGATGAATTGGGGAGGAATGCTTTAGGGTCGGAAATATTATGTTTTAGTAATAATCATAAATTATATGATGAATTGTGTGTATTATATTCTAAAAGAAAATCGGATCAAGTAAGTATTTATCTTTTTGAAGCGGTGTGAAAGAGATGTTTATATTTATTATTCATTAATTTATAAATTTATTGTTATGATTATAGCCTGTGTCATTGGATCCTATTACAAGTGACAAATTAAGTGGATTTGTTTCAAAGGATCCGAATTTTATACCTGAAAGCACGTTTTATTCGCCTTTACCAGATAAAACTTTACCAGATATTGCAAACGATAGATCATTAAGGTAATCGATATTAACAATAATATTGATTTGATTTATTAACAAAGAAAACTAATTATAAAGCTAATAATTTTTATATAACAATTCTTATTAGCGTATTATTTTATTTACCAAAGAAAACTGATAAAACTACTCATAAATCAGTTTTATTGAAAAATGTCAAATTGTCACCCAGAGTTTTAGGATGGGAAGATCAGGAATGGATTAGAAATGGCGGTGGTAGTCGTGGTAGAGGAAGAGGTAGAGGAGGAAGTTCTGGCAGTGGAAGTAATTCTGGAGGAGGGTATGATAATTATAATAATTATCAAAGAGGTGGTGGCGGTGGCGGTGGCGGTGGTTATAATGGAGGAGGGGGGGGGGAGATATGATAATTATAATAATTATCAAAGAGGTGGTGGTGGTGGCGGTGGTTATAATGGAGGAGGGGGGGGAGGAAGATATGATAATTATAATAATTATCAAAGAGGTGGTGGCGGTGGCGGCGGTTATAATGGAGGAGGAAGAAGATATGATAATTACAATAATTATCAAAGAGGAGGTGGTCATCCTCCAAAATACTGTGAGTTTACGAATCGTAATAATAATAAATATTTAATTTTCATAATTACTTATTATTCATTTTCTATATTATTTTATTAGAGATACTCACTTGAAAGAAGCAGACGAAAACTAATACGCTGTTAATTGCGATCCGTCTATATAAAAATTTCCAAAATGCAAAGAATCATCCATCAATAAGATTAGCAGGAACACTTCTTCAATTTAACATACAATCAAACGTTAAACGAGATTAACATTGTGTTTAAGAATTTTTTTTTTTTATAATTATTTACTAATTAATAATAAAATGAATATCTATCAAAAAGTAATTAGCAAAATATGTAACCTGAAAAAATTTCATGTAAAACAATAAAAAAAAACCTATAATAATAATTTTATAAATGAACACATTTTGAAAATATTTATTATAGAGAGGAACTAGAGACTTGATTGGGTTTTCAAAACATTATTATAGTTCAGAATTATACTTTTTGTCTTTTATGTTTTACTTGAGAATTATTACTATTAATACCTTTTTTTAGACCTTTTATTAGCGTTATTCCTACTTCCTTGCACCTGCCATTCATTATTACCTGTTACATTTCTTTCGTTACTCTTCAATATTCTTTTTTCAGCTGATTCTTTACATGAATTTTCTGAATACCTTTAATTTCTGCGCCATCTGCTATTTTCTTCAACTACTCTGGCTTTTTTTTTGGTTTTTTATCAATTAAAGAAAGCAAATATTATTTGTAATTTTAAACTTGGTTTTATTTTTTTGATCTGATAAATATCACCCAAAATTAGAAATAACCTTTAATTATAGCATCACACATACCTTTATCCCCTATGTTTGTAGAGATAAAGCTTCGTTCAGCCTGGGTGGGTGTATATCCCCTTATCGATCTTTGGGTATTGGTCGGATAATTCACCCAAGACCTTGATCAGGGATACCTCCATTATAATGTTTGAAATAATTCATACTCTCTAATAAAACCCATTAAATAAAATTGATCTAAAAATTGATAATGAATCTTGTATTTATAGAAAGATAAAATCGTTTTTTATTTTAGGAATCTTCCAGTAAAATGCACCAAAAAGTACGGAATTCGTATGGATAGATACAGGATAGATACAGAATGCATACGAAACACACACGAAATGCACACGGGATTTATGGGAAACATGATAATACGCATTTTCCCATACTAATAGTAGTATGAATTAAGTGAATATGAAATACGTACTAGTATGGAAAAAACGAATTCTGTATCAGTATGTTTTCCGTGTATTCTGTATTAGTATGTTATTTTCTATAGAGAATAAGAGCGAATACCATGGAACAGGCTGACCAGATCCCTCTTCCAAACAATACGAGATCGTAATAAACTAAACAGATTCGTAAGAGATGCAATTGATGAAATATGGTTACCCAAAAATGATAGATAGATATTTAGAAAACGGTGATGAAGAGAATGCTGGCAATATTTACAACTAATGTCGATGGTGATTTATTAGAAATCCTCCGCCATGCAAAAAGAATCAGGGTTATATAAAAATTGTTTGTTTAAATGAGCAAAAATAATCTTATATATATTCCATCCGTAAAACAAGATGATGTATTCTCTCGCCCATGCGTTGCTGACCTTTAGAACTCCACTAGCGTGTATTATATATAAAACAATATACACTACTGATGATTCGATAGAAATTATGTCAATCATCTCGCAATCGTCAAATATGTCATTATAATATTATAATCGTAAACTTCAACAGTATCGACCATTACCTCAACACCAAAATCACCAGAAAATTAGTGAAAAAAGGAGATCGGTTAAATCCTCAAAACGTCAACATAAAATCACAATTATTATTTTTTCAAGCACAAGATTAAAAAATAACAAACACACTCCGCTGCTTTAGTAGGTTCAAAGAACACTATACTTTCCTAATAAAAAATAAAGTCAATCCACCAAGAAGTATTGGTGATAAAACATATATTATATGGTAAAAAGAAATTTTATTAAAACCTTTTCTCTAGTTAAAAACATCATCATAGCAAACGATTGAATAGTGTAAATTATGACGGTAAATTAATTGAAATATTTTGGTTATATATCGCATTCATCAGCAAATTTTACAATAAAAATTTTAGTTATAAAAATTATAAATTTGTAAATTTGTAAAAAAATTACTATTACATTTATAAAAAGCATTTTTCTATAACTTTGAATGCATTTATTATTTATATTTTTGTTATTATTAGTGTAATTATAACAACGAATTCATAAATATATATGAAGAAAACATTAATAATATAAAATAATTATTATGTACAGTATATGAAGCAATTATATTATATGTACATTATTGATCACTCTGCATTAGAAGATGATGTTGGATCATATCCCTGATAAATATAATAATAATATCAAAGATTTTATAATGTTATAACCCTCCAAAAAAAGCAAAGTGTTTGCAAAGGTGATTGTAACAGCATCTATATTTTATAAAAATAAAAATTTAAATAAATGAAATAATACATATAAGAAAACCTCGCATTCTATCAAGAATACATGTTTGATCAATCTTAACACCTTCATGTTCAGAACTTAGAATACAATGGCAAACAGCTCTAGTAAAGGCCATTTGCCTATTGGTCACATTCGATCTTTTTCACACAAGTAGATTAATAATTTCAATGTTTGAGTGGCCTTCATCATCATTAGGATTAAGGCTTTCAAACATTCCTTAACATCTTCTGATTCCTTCCAATTATTTATTACAGATATTAGAGTGAATGTGTCAACTTTCTCTATGTTTGTAAAACCTTATAAATTGATTCTTTAATTCTAGAACACATAGAACCACGAACCTTACTTGGTCTGTTGACTGTTAAAAATTAAATTAATGACTAGTTATAATCATAAAATAATTGATTACAAAAAAAAATTCAACAATACAAAAGCTTTTAAATCTTTTCTCCAAATAAGAGGAAATTTAATAATTTTTTTGTTCTTGGGCCTCTTTGAAGAAGTAACTTTGGTTGCCACTTTTTAGTAAAATAATATCCATGAATTTCTTTGTATAATTTTTCATCAAAAGCCTTTTTATATGGAATGATTTTATTAAGAAAATCTTCTTTAGATATCTCACTGAATCTAACCAATGGAATAACATCTTCTAATAAATATCTTAATTCTTCAAAATCATCATTGCTCCACATTGAAATAATTTTTCCTAATGTTTGATTTTGTCCAATCCCATTGAATGACATAATTCCAAACATCAACCTCATCTAATTTTAATTTATCCTTTTTCAATATAGAAACAAGCATAGATTTTTCAATTGCTGCAATATCATTAGATTTTAAAATTGATGCTGGATTTTTACAAATTAATTTATTACAAAAATCTTGAAGTAAGGTGAAAAATTGATGTTTAGATGAAATATTATGAGTGTAAATTAATTTTTGATGAAGCCATTCATTTTTTTCATTGATTAAATAATTTTGTAAAATCATCAATTAATTCATCAAAGTTTAATTCATCACATGCTTCAATAAGTTCTAAGATTTCATCTGCAATCCAGGTTATCAAGATTAATAATCCCATTATACATATACCTTTTAAAAATAAATAAATAGAAAAAAATAGTGATTAGTAAATATTATTATTATTTAATAATTATAAAATCAATCTATTTAATTTAATTTTAATTTATTCCTACATTAAAAGTACTTCAAAAACTCTTGGAGAAATATTTTCTTTTTCAAACAAAATATTGCCATCATCAGACTTTTTAACCCAATTTTTAGATAAAGCTGTTCTAAAATACAAAGACCTTGCTTTTAAGATGGTGGAATGAGCTTTAAAAATTTTATTATCATCTTCCACTCCAACTTTAATTTCTGTATCATAATAATCTGAATTGTCCAACAAATTTGAAAAATCATTTACTAGCTTATTAATATATTTTAAAGGTGAAGCATTATTAATGTTAAGGTTTTTAAACAAGTATGTAATATTTTCCAAGGATGAAATATTAGACATTTCAAAGATATTTATCTTAAAAAAATAATAAAGAAACCAATAAATTGGCTTAGGGAAAGTTGTTATATACGAAATCTAGTTTTATTATTTAATACGTGAAATATTTAGTGCCACAGCATAATGTAGCATTTATAAGTTAATCTCAAAAAATAATTTTATCAAAATTAACGTCCACGACCTCCACCGCCACCAACACGTCCGCGAGAACCACGTCCACGCCCACGCCCACGACCAACATCAACAACTATATATATATATGTCAATTAAATGTCATTAACAAAAAAAAAAAAACAGAAAATTTAAGTAAATTACCCTCTTTCTTTTTGGCTTTAGCTTTTGGAGCATCATCAACCAGCAATGTATCTAACGGAAGAGAATCAGGTAAAATGAAATATCTAATAGTGTTGCCTCTAATACTTAAAGAGTCTAAATTAACCGGATCTTTATTTTTTACTGTCATTTTAACAGTTTTAAGGTGTATATTCATACTCATATCTACACCTAATTCACATAAATAAATGTGAATATATATATATATATGGAAGTATAAATATCAAACAATAACGATACTTTATTAATTAATATTACCTGTAATAGTTCCATGTACTATAGTACCATTCTTGAGTTCTATGGTAACAGTCTCATTATTTAATTTCATTAAAAATCTAAGGTAAAAAAAGAAATTATCATCGTCATCATTATCATCATTATTATTATCACCATCATTATGGTTAACTAACCTTACTAATTTCATATTATATAAAGATTGATCAAATAAAATAAAATAAAATTTTTGATAAACTTGATTTTTTTTATAAAAAAGTTTGAAATTTTGAAGTTACATCAAAAATAAATTTTTTTTAACAATAGTAAGGATCAACAAAATATCGTGTTTTTTACAAATTCTTTCTCCAACAAGATCGATTTGAAGTGGCTCCAAATACAATTAATTATAAAACCTTTGCATGTAACTTGCTACACCATTCACTGCTTGACTTCAAGTTGAAATGTATAATAATAAAGCTTGGTTCTCCCAGCTCAACTAATATGTTGATTGATTCTGGTATTTACTATCCTTCAAAAAGTGTTCGTTTTAATCAAAAAAAAAAAATAGTGAAAGGGACAAATTAATTAATTAAGCAAATAGAGACGACGTTTATTATTGACTTGTTAACTTGAGAGAAATAAATATACAAATATATATAATATATATATGGTACACAATGCCATAGAATCATTTCACGATCAAGAATTTAAAATTTAAAATTTAATAGTTGCAATATTTATTGATTTTCGATTATTACAAGATATACAACATATATATTAATATTAAGAATCAAAATAATCTTCATCGTAATCATAATCTGAATCATAATCCGTATCATAATCATCATAATCATCATAATCATAATCATCATCCCCACCTTGTCTCTTTTTTAATAACTTAATTCTTCTATTAGCAGGTGCTGACCTTTTTGTTAACAATGTTAAGATTGCTCCACCGACATCACCATAACCAACAAATCTTTTTTGGTTGCTGTTCTTCATCATCAATTGCGATCGTTGTTGTGGTGATGGTGAAGCAGAAGAAGAAATTACAAAAAAAAAGATTATTAACAGAATCAGGTAAATATTTTTTCTAATTGATTTATTATTACTAATATTGCTGTTGATGTTGTAGTTGTTGATTCTATTGTTATTGTTGTTATAGTATTCGTCGTAGGACATTTGTTTGATATTTGATTAGTTGGTTGGATTGATTGGTTTTTTATTCTATAGATATTTTTCAGTTTTATTTATTTTCTTGATTGTTAGGATTTCGATTTCCAACATTTTTAAATATCTTTTTTTTTTAATATATTAAATTAAATAACTTTAATAAAATGACAAAATTAAAAGATTTAATTAAAAGATAAATTCGATCCGACAATCTTCTGTATGACGAAAATTGATACACAAAAAATTTGTTGTCAAAAAAAACTGTTTTACTATAACTAATTAAACATATTTCATTTTCTTTGATTCCTTCTCAAATATGGATCACAATGCGAAAGGTAACATTATAGAGAATGTATCACTTTTCGATCTAATCATGTCTATTAACGACTAGCGCTGTCATTCTGTTATTTCAGATACCATAAAAAACCTATTAATTTGAAGGCTACTTCATACACAACTTCACCTAAGGCCAAGAGGCTCATTCCACGACTTCAGCTAGGGATCTAGCTTTATCCAAGATTTGATTTTTGAGGAGCTGATGTTGTATAACGTTGAAAAGATTTGTAACAGGTAAAAAATATAACAACAAAAAACATAGAACATCAAAAAAAAAATTTTCACTTTATTATATATGTTAATTATCAAACTAAATGTTAATCCAAATATAATTTCATTAAGGTGATTTAGAAATGGAATAATAATGAAAGGAATTGCCCCTCTTAAGGTACGAAAATGTTTTGATAATACATAATATTTTCCCATATTTTCTTTTTTACTTTCTATTTTGTCTAGATATCTATAAAAATTAGAAGAATATGTTGATTCGAAACTCCATGTATAAAATTCATAAATAAAACTTAATGCTAAAGCATTCATCTATTTATCAAAAACAATGGGAATTAATTTGTTTAATGTCAGACAAAGAACCTACAACAGAAGATCCATATTTCTGCTTGATAAGATCTATTTTATCTATTAGGGCAAAAGACAAAATATCCATTCCTTGTGTTGGAAAATTATTAAATTTAGCTCCTAATGTTGAATCTATGTTAAAATTAAAAAAAGAAGAAATAACAAATATGATTTATCCAATAGGATTAAGTAAAATTAAAACAAATAGAATTATCGAAACAAGCAAAACTTTAATAAGTAAATATAAAGGTGTTGTTCCCAGCGACGTAAACTTATTAATGAATTTTCCAGGAGTTGGTTTAAAAGTTGCTTCTGTTGTCAGACATTTTGCTTTCAATATTCCTGATTTTCCAGTTGACACTTATTAAACAAAATTTGATGGGTTTGAAAATATATTTTTTAAATAATAATAATAGTATTATATGATTGCACAATCATAATCAATAGATATCAATTATGAAAAGAACAACAATAAAACAAATTATATAAAAATATACAACGTTTGATTTTTGGAAAATTTTACTGAGAAATAAACAGAAAAAATTTTTTTTATGAATATATGAATGAATATATATAATGTATGAATACGTGAGAAATAATTGAACTATTCACAATATATTAATTAGTGAGAAAGAAAAGACATTTGCTATTCTAAGATTATTCTTCTTCATCTTCAGATTCATCACAAACTTCATAATAAGATGGATAAACATTTGTTACATTATCATAATACCACCACCCATTTGACAATTGATGAAAATCAGCTATTACAGTCATTCCAACCATTGCATATTGCAAAGTCTCAAAATCAATATGAACATCAAATGTTTCTACGATTGGTTCTTCGCATGTTCTAACTGTCATTCTGTAAAGTTTTATTCCATCATCGGTTTTGTTATCTTTATCATCATCTAAAGAATCATTGGTTTTTGGTGCTGTTTTAGTATTGTTGACATCATTAGACGCAGATGATGATGAATCGTTCTTATGATCTTTCTCGTCATCTTTCTTATTTTTATTAATTGGATTATCACCTTTATTATCTTTGTCATCTTCATTGATTGCATTATCATCTTTCTTATCTTTATTATCATCTTTCATATCAACTTTCATATCAACCTTCTTATCACCATTCTCTTCAATTTTCACGTCATCGACTTTTTCATCAACTTTCGCATCGTTGACTTTCTCGTCAACTTCCTTTTTAACTTTCTCATCAACTTCCATATCAACTTTCTTGTCAATTTTCTTCTTATTTTTCTCATCAACTTTCATATCATCATTCTCTTCGATTTTCACATCATCAACTTTCTCATCAACTTTCTTTTCAACTTTCTCATCAACTTTCTTTTCATCATTCTCTTCAATTTTCATATCATCATCTGTCTTTTCAACATTCTTATCAACTTTATCTTCATTTTTCTCATCATTCTTCTCATCATTCTTCTCATCATTTTTCATATCATCATCTTTCTTATCGACTTTTTCGTCTACTTTTTTATAATCTTTATCATCTTTTAAAGATTGATCGCTTGATTTCTTTTCTGGTAGTTTTTCTATATCAATTATTTCCACTTTAAGTGCTTTTCTTGTGGCTGATTCAACGCGGTAAAGATTTCCATCTTTTAAAGCATCTTCTCCAAATGCTTTATTAATAATTTCTTTGGCTTCACTTAAAGAGATTTTCATATACTTTATAACATTTTCTAAATCCCAAGGATCATCGAAAATACCATATAATTCACCACCATACAATATAGAACATGCCTTATTAAATTTGTGAAAAGCGGTCAATGCTAGACTTTTACAATTTGGCAACTCTATTTTAGCACGTTCAGTAAATTCCATTGCCCTTGATATATCCTCAGAGTATTCTGGGCACACATTATGTCTAACTAAATAATTTAAAAATGATGACACAACTAAAGGTGCTTCACGAAATTGTTCTAATTGCACATAGCCTGATTTATCGATAAAATAACTAGATAAATAAGCCTTAACTACGTATGTAAAATCTACTATTATTTCATCCTCATCTTCATCGCCATCATCTTGAATAAAGTCTGTTGATTTTCTCATAGTAATGTCTTCACTGGTGGCTTCTGGATCTTCGATATCCTGTTGACCTAAAAATGAATTTTGACCTGTCTTGACTCCTCCAAAACGAAGATAAGAACTAAATACTTGGTTACGAGTTGAAGAAAATTTACGAGTATCTTTGAATCTTTGTATTGCAGTTTCAATTCGAAGTGTTACTGATCGTGAACTATATATTAAAAAATAATTAATTCATTGAGAATTAATGGGAGAAAAAAGGCACACACACTTTACAAATATTAATAATATGTATATAAATATATAAATATAATATTTGGAAGCTTACAGATTATAACGTTCGTTATCATCAACTTCTTTTTCACCAGGATCAACAAATAAAAGTTCCTCCGTTAAACTATCAATTGGTTTTTTCTTTTTTTTCTTCTTCTTTTTCTTTTTTTGTGCAATGCCCAAATTAAGTGTTTGGTTGTCGACGTTAGCATCAGCAGTTTGGTTTGACATCTCAGGCAATTCAGTATTATTTGGATTTTCTTTCTCGTCAGTTTTGTCTAATTCTACTGGGGGATTGGGTTGTGCTGTGCTCTCTTTAATTGATAGATCATTTTGTTCTTGGACAATTTGATTTTCCATTTTTCCCTAAAAAAAAAAAGCTTATCATTACTATTACGCGTCAATTCCACCTAAATATACTTATCAAAAATTAATTGTTATCAAATTAGGAAGTTAATGTAATTCCGTTATCCAATCAGTATAAAATAACTTTTTTACCTTTATAACTTTACTCTTTTTTTTATGGTTTTTTTAGCAAATATATCCAACCAAAATGGCAGAATATTTAGCATCAATATACAGCACTGAAAAAGACAAGTATGTTTGAATCAATTAGTTATTTAAATTAATTTGATTATTTAACGGTGGAAAACTTATTTTATTGTTGGCACGTTACTAACCATATGTGCTGAAATTTTGGAAAAAAAAAAGCATTTCTTTTATATATGGGTAAGATATTCACTCATTCACATTTCCACAAAAAATTTCAGCGCATATGCCTTTAGTTTCGGTGATAACTTTTTATTGTTCTTTTTATTTCAAAATTGGAGCTTGTAGCACGGTGATCGATGCAGTAGAAAACATGTTAAACCAACAATCCTTTGTTCAAATATTTATCAAACCCTTTCTGCACATGACACTAATTGTGATATGACTGATGAGCAAGTTCAGGCGTGATTTTTATGAAGACTTTTTATTGAGCTTTGTAAATATGGTGAAGTTGAAGAAATTCATGTATGTGATCATTTAATATGAAGATGTGCAAAAGACTGCTGATAATTTGAATCAAAGATTTTATTCTGATATTCATTGTCATTGTTATTATTATTTGATCAATTATCTAGCACATGATTTTAAAATGAAAAAAAAAAAGAATTATCGCTAGCAATAGATTTTCGCCAAAATGAAAATGCGGAATGTACTAGAGGTGGATTTTGTAATTTTATAATTATGCATCTAAAGGGAGTATCTCGTTATTTAAAAAAAATTATTTGTAATTATTTAAGAGAACAAAGAAGGAAAAGAGATGATTTTGGAAAATTTCTAAATTGGCGAGTTTTAACTTCATTTTTTTAAATAAATTTTGCATTTTTGTAGGTACCTTTAAGCTTCTGTTTATTATATGATATTAAAGAAAATACAATCTCGTAAAGTTATAGATAGATTTACATATAAGTTAAAATTAATTGATTATTTTTTCGGTTCCTTATTAATTTTTCTGAAATCAGAACACACACACATATATTAGAATTTTTGCATTTTTAATATTAAAAAAATTTTTGATCAAATTTTACTCACCTTGCAGGATCAGAAACATTTAATAATAAAGTATCAGAATCCAATAGTACACGATTTTGAGAACGTGATAAAGTAGAAGCAATGTCCCTAGCTGTCTCAATTTTTCTTAATTCAATAAATCCAGGTTTGTTCTTGATAGCCTCACCAATCAATTCAGCAGATTTAGCTTCACCTTCAGCCTTAATAATGATTGATTGTTTTTCTTGTTTTGCTCGTTCCACTATAAAAAATGCACGTTGTGCTTCCTGTTGAGCAATTTGTTTGGCCTCGACTGATTGAGTAAATTCCGGCGAGAACGCAACATGAGTGATGGACACATCATCCAAAATGATATTAAATTTTTCTGCACGACGTATTAAATTTTCTCTCACCAATCTTGATACCTAAAAAAAAGATTTAGGGAAAAAAAAAAGAAGATAAATTGAATTGAATTTTCAAATAAAAATATTATTATTATATGTAAAACACCAACTTTTTCACGCTGAGTAATTAATTGTGAGACATTGAATTGAGCAACAACTGATTTGAGAACTTCATTTACAATAGAAGGTAAAACACGTTCATCATAATCAACTCCAAGGGTTCTATATATTGTTGATAGTTCTTCAACTTTTGGTTTTGATAGAACACGACATGTGATATTTACCATTTGGAGATCTTTTAAAAAGGAAAAAATTATTTACTCAACTTTCTCTCATTAAAAAGAAAAAAATTATTTATTTAATTTCCCCTCATTAAAAATGTTTTTCATGATTCACACCTTTTGTTCCGGTTAAAGAAGCAATACTTCTTGGTTTAGCTCTAACATCATAAATAATTGGTGTTTCGAACCATGGTATCATAATATGTGTGCCTTCATTATAAATTTTTCTTTGAACACCAGAAATCCTAGTATATTTTATTGCTCTATGACCACCATCAACTAAATAAATATCAATCAAATAATAAATGAATAATAATAAAATTAATTCTAATTTATAATAATTCAAGTTTAATCAATGAAGTGAAGAATGAGTGTATTCTCTCGTACCATTAAACAAACTAGCATTTATACCAAACCCAAGAGTTCCTAAAGCTAAAACTGCACCTGTTCCTGTAAATAGTCCTTTACCACCACCTTTGGGCAGCATACTACTAAGTCTATTTATTGTTTGTCTTCCTTGTGAAGCCATACCTATATAAAATTATTCTACCCATAAAAAAAAAATATTTTGTCAATCAATAAAAATTGAATCAACAAGATTTTATTGGTTGAAATTTGAAATAATCTCGCGCTTTTAAGTGAAATAATTTTTAAAATGTCACTGTGATAAATTATAATTTTAGTATTATATATTCATTATGTAAAATTAAAAGAACTTTTTTAAAGCTATAAGAGAAGAACTTTTAAAGTACATTAATATAATTATTACTGCTACTATTATTATTTTTAAAAAATTAATAAATGTCCAAATAATCTATTTCTAAGAATAAAATAAATCTAATTAGCAAAATTACAACTTATTTACTATACAGATTTATGTATTTTTACTACTACTATTATTATTTATCTCCTTGAGATGGCAAAAACACTTACAATTACAAGAGCAAGAGTTAAAACTGCACCGGGTAATAATAGTTCCTTTGGAATTGAAAGATTAATATTACCACTATCTTTATTATTATCCTTATTTACAGATAATCGTGGCATTCTTTTTCTTTTACTATTAATATTAAAGTTATTAACATCATTCCATTCATCCTCCTCTTCTTCGAAATCATTGTCATTAGTTATAGCTCTGGATTTTGGTGAAGATGCGGCTGATAACGATGAATTTTTATTTTCTTTGATTTCAATATTTAAAATAACCTTTGATGCATTTTGACGTTGAGCAATTCTAACGGCGTCAAGCACATCATCATCTGTTGTCATAGTTACATTATCCCCATCATCATCAATATATGTGATAGTGAAATCTTCTATGGTTGATGGAAGTTTTGATAATACAGTTGAACGAATATTATCAACACTTGTATAATCAACAGTGAAACGATGTGCTTTGCCATTTGGAGCTTTAAATTTAAAGGTGAAAGAGTTTTCTTCATGACCACGAGGAAATGAAATACCCGATTTATCATCAACTGCTGAGGCAGATTCGCTGGGATGAATCTCGGGCACAGGAGAAATATTACCTGAATTACGCATACTACTAATACGCATATTTGGCGAAGAAGGTGGTATATTTGATGCACTTTGCGAAGGAGCTATTGTATCTGATAATATAGATTCATTGTCATCAACATCGTCATCAACATTTTCTCCATCTAAGGAATTCCAAAATTTGTTCCACATAGGACCTGAATTATTATCTGATCCACTATTATCTTGATTATCTTGACTTTTCATTGAACACATCTAATGAAAATATTATTATTATTATTACTGGAAAAAATTTTTGATTAATAATTATGCATGTAAGTACCTGTTCCATGGTTGCATATGTTAATTTCAATACATCCACCATTCCTATGATAGTTGTACCTTCTACCACTGGTAAATTAAGGTAATGACCGTCTAATATATTTACATGAATAAAATAATTGTGTTTTAAAATTTATATATAATACTTTACATTAAGTACGTCAATTTTAATAAACGAACTCGCTTTATATAAGAAATTATATTATTATAATAATAAATAAATTGATTGATACCCACCATACATTTTTTTTAATGCTTCTAAAATACTGGTATTAGGAGTAGCAGTATCAGGATGTGGGGTCATTACTCTAATAACACTACAAGTAGAAGGATCCAAATCTGCAGCAATTACCCTTAATACTATATCTTTACTAGTAAAAATCCCAGCAATCATATTGTGTTCCATTACCAAAACAGCAGTTGTACGAAATTGTCTCATCATTTTAGCAGCATCTCTTACAGATGTTTTCATACCAACTTCAGCAGGTAGTGAACCGTCCAATACACTTGTCAAATCAGGACACTCCATCTTTTCACGTAGAACGGACATATATTGCATTATGGAGTTTGTTTGACCTGTCCATTCTTTTTCAACACCTTCAAGAGCGTCATATAATTTTTTAGATGAGCCATATGCACGTTCCATCTTATCTAATGCCTCGTATAAACATTTAGTAATATCCAAGAGACCCACAATATCTCCATCTTCATTACACACAGGCTATGATAAATGGAAAAATATGATTTGAAAATTAGTTTAGAAGAAGTTAAAAAATATTAATAACAATTATTACTATTATTTATACTTACAAGATGCCTAAAACCTTTTTTAACCATTGTATTAAGAGCATCAGTGGCAGAAGTATCACTTTTTACACACATTGGATCAGCAGTCATGATTTGTTTTACAGTGGTTGTTCCAGCATCCAAACCATCACCAACTACTCTAAATGCTAAATCTTTTGCAGTGAAAATTCCAGATAAGTGTTCCTCTTCATCTATGACCAATACACAATCAGCACGTTTAGCAGCCATAAGTTGCGAAGCTTCAACCACTAAAGTTGTTTCTCTGACAGTTAATGCTTGTGAAGGTTTTAATGAGGTAACTGTTCCATTTGTGTTATTATTAAATTGAGTTGGTTTTGAATCTCTACGAGGATTCTTTTTAGCTAAATTTGATTCTGCTCTTTTACGTATTGCCTGGTATTATTTTTTTGTTATAATATATAAGAGAAAATAGTATGAATATGAATAAGTAAAAAAAATGATCGAACAATCCTACAAACAATATTTCCACTAATAATATCATAATAACACGAGTCAAAAAGAGAAACTGTTACCTCATCCTTTTTTGATGTTCTTTTGCGGGCTAAATCATCACTGATCTCATTATTAATGCCGCTTGAGGAATAACTGTTTAAGGAATGAGGCTGCGGGTAACGTGTTGGGGCAGATGTTTTTCTCGATCTAAAGCTTGTTGTTGACATGTTAGATTAGAGTTTGGTAATGATCTGGGTAAATAATTTATAATTTATATGTTATAGAATTATTAGAGGGAATGAATAATAATAATAAATTAGCCGAATTAAAAGCAGTTTACTATAAATATAAACATGCAAAACAAAAATCGTCAATTTAGTTTCTAAATATGTCTAACCCAATAAAAATTTAAAACATGTGGAAAATTATTATAATAATAATAATCGGCTTTCATCCTTGGAGAATATTATTTTAGCCGACCACCTTGACATTAATCATTATTTACCTCAGTAAACTTGCAAATTTATTAGATGATTCAGATTATTACGATGTAGAAATCAAAGTTGGAGTGGAAGAGGATGATGATGTTAAAAACAAGATCCTCCTCATACTTTGATGCTGCATAAAAAGATATATTTCTCCAAAAAAGATAAATTAATTTTTCTTTTATTCCATTTTTAAAAAGGTATTTTACAATAGCATTATCAATGTAGATAACCTGAATCCAAATGAACTTTAAAGCTTTCTGAAGCATGCAATGAATTAAGCTTTAATAATTAATGAAAAGGATATATGGATTAAACAAAGCTTAATCTACATCATAAATTCTCACATCAATTGTTCACCTTACTCAAGGTTCTTACGATAAATTAATATTAATTGATGAAAATCCAGTCTCTTTTAAATACAATTGAAAAATCAATGCTTACATCTATATTAGGAAGGGATTATTCAAATTCGAATGAAATAGATATTTGGGATTCTACAATTCAATGGAATAGAACAAAATGAAGCATTTGAAAAAAAAAATTTTAGGATGATTCAAAGAGATTCAAAATATATTGTTAATGTATGGATGAAAGGTTGTGTGCATGCAGTCTAAAATATGTTGATCATTTCAATCATTAATTGGTTTGATATTCATTTGTAGGGTTTTGACTTCTTTAACCAGTATATCCAACTTTATTGATACAGTTTTCACATCATTTTCAAGTCCTGCAATAAGCCATTATAAGATAAATGAGTAGAATTTTTACTTGCATTTTGTAAAACAACTTTTTTCATACACGAAGCTAGATCATTCAGAAGAAAGCATTTATACATGTTGTTACATATTTAGATGGATTTTCTTTTCTGCTTTCCATATTTTGAGTTCAGATACCTTTCAATTTACAGCCTCTTTACTTTTTGAATATAGTATACACTCAACAATCCTCTTTATAACTTTATTCCATTGAGTTAATAAACCTTAAATACAGCATATCATTTTCTTTGAACATTGATAGAGATGGGATTGAACAAAAGAGTTATAATTATCATAGCAACAGGTGATAAGAATTGTTTCATTATCCCAAATAAAATGTCTTGCAATTTGAATTGTGCATAAGCCATGTTTTTTTTGTGCTTCAAGTAAGCAAGCATATGAAAATTGAGTTATGGCTAACTGCAGTTGTATAAGTATGTATAAAAAGTAAACTCTATCACACCCCAAATATCTTACTAAAATGGCATGATGGTTTCCTTTTTGGTCTTTTTAAAAAAAAAATTATTATCAGATCTTTATTAATAAAAAGATCGACAAAATGAACAAATCGACAGGCATGTTCCCATTTTTGTTCTTTATCAAAGAGTATAAATAGAAACTTGGAAATATAAAAATATTTTTAATAATATTCAAGCATTTAAAACGAAAAATAAAAAAAATGTCTAATATAATTGTGGTATGTTTCTTTATTTCTTTTAAAAAAATGATTGATAGTAGAAAGATATATATATATATATTTCATAAAATCTAAATCTAATAATTATTATTTTGTTATTTATCGATAATTTGTAAAAAATTTTTTTTGTAAAAATAAAAATAGAATTTTAAAAACATTATTATTCATATTTTATTGCTTTATTATTTAATAATTAGCCAACCATTTATAATTCAGTTATGAAGGATGTAATTGAAAATGTGAAAAAAGACTTTAAAGACAGTGGAATTGATGAAACAGTTTTACATGAACTAGAACACGTGAGCAATATTATTACTTTTCAATGAGTGTTGCGATTATTATTGATTATTAATACTTTTATTTGTTTATATACGTTATGATTTCTTAGAATTGGCTACAAAAACTTAAAAGTTTCAAGGTTGCATCTTGGAATCATAATGATGGAAATGTAGGAGAGGAAACTAATGGCAGTACAACAAATGTACCATTTATTCTACCTGCTACTACTACTACTACTACAGAATCAACAACTAATGTTTCATCAAAAGTAATTAGAAAATAATAATATATAAATATTATTATATAATATTGTTATAATAAATCTATTTATATATTTCAGTATCCACCAAATCCAAATGAATTTGAAACACCGCCACCAGCAGCTGCAAATCTTCCAACTCTTGCAACATCTACACTCAGTTCTCATATAAAAAAATTCCAATCATATACGGTATCTAAACGTATAATTTATTTTTGTTATTATTATTATTATTATTATTATTATTTTTATTATTATTATTATTTTTATTATTATTATTATTGTTATTGTTGTTGTTGTTATTAATATTCTATATTGCATTTTTTCCTTGGTAAAATAATTTTTCTTCTCCACACCTTTCTTCCCTAAAACAAAATAAATAGAAGGACGCTCATGCCTACACTGACCATCCAAACAATCCAAATCATCTTAATAACAATTATCATCATCATAATAATAATATCAATAATAATAATATCAATCACAACAACAACAACAACAATAATAATTTATTAACACAATCACAAACTCAATCATTATCATCATCTTCATCATCGTCAGTATCACCAATACCACCACCATCAACAAACACTCCACAAAAGACATATCCTGATACATACGAGAAAAAAAGAAAAGATAGCATTACTAAAAGGAAATTGTATGTTGAAGATGATATCAATTCTGATCTTGATGACTCAGATGAGGATGAAGGAGCTGCCGAAGGAGAATTTCAAAATATCATTTTATGTTTATATGATAAGGTGAAATAAAAAAAAATTTTTCTTTACCATTATTATTATTTTAATTATTGATATATTATTTATATTATCCATTTAGGTGAGTCGCACGAAAAATAAATGGAAGTGTCAATTAAAAGATGGAGTTATGTTAGTAAATGGAAAAGAATACCTTTTTCAAAAAGGGAATGGTGATTTTGAATTTTAGTCAATATTGATGGCAGTAAAAGTAAAAATAATAACAATAAACTTGAATAATAATAAAAAAACCGATTATTATTATAATATAATAGAGATTTTTATAATATTAAAAAAAATAAAAAATAAAATGATTTATTCATTCTATCAAACTATAAAAATTTATTATTATTATTATATAAAAAGTTGATTTTATTTTGCTTCTAAATAAATAAAAAAAATAAATCATTTATTTTATAGAGCAAAAATAGGACTACGGACAATTATGATTGAGATCATATACTCCATGATAGAAAACTTTATTTTTGTCACCATTAAAAGCTATGAGCATGGATTTTGTCAAAAACGGGTAGAAATGACCAAAAACTTGCCCTGCTCTAATCAATGGATTGATATATAGGATCTTGGTGTCTCTCTTTAAGAGCTGCATTTTTTACTATGGTTGGCTCGGTCTAAAGACAACCTATTGCTGCGCCATGTAACCAAATTTCAGCAATTTTGTATTTTTTTAAAAATTGCACATTATTATTATTTCTTACTGCCAAATTTAGATACGATAGTTGAGAGCTAGTCTAAATTTAGAATGATCATAGCGGACGTGAGCATAGTAAAGTACATGTTTTAAAAAAGAATAGAACTCTACAACAAATAACTTTTTTGAAAATGTCTCGTTATTACATTTAAAACTAAAGACCTATTCTATCAAATAATAACGCTATCTTTTAAAAGGTAAGACAGAAAGTGACTTCTATACCTTTAAATTTCCGTTGTTTATAGTAAAAACCAATAAAATTGACAACTTTGAACCTTTATAAAATTTTTTTTACTAATATAATTGAAAAAAGCTCTCTGATAGTTTATTAATTGAGTGATTGGAAATAGAATTGCGAAAAGATTATTCACACAACTTGCTTGGTTATTGAGCCTTTACGTTTTAAAGTTTATCTAAATTTCTATTGTTTAGATAAATTTGGGCTTTTATAAGAAAATTTTTTACTAATATAAATGAAAAAACTCTGACGATTATTAACCGAGTGTTTGAAAATACAATCGTGAAAAGATTAGTCCCACAACTTGTTTGGTTATTGAGCCTTTACGTTTTAAAGTTTATCTAAATTTCTATTGTTTATAGTAAAATCAACTAAATTGATAACTTTGAACCTTTACGAAAAAAATTTTTTATTAATATAAATGAGAAAAACTCTCTAATTTATTAATTGAATGTTTGGAAATACAATTGTGGAAAGATTATTCTCGCAGCTTGTTTGGTTATTGAGCCTTTAGATTTTGAAATTTATCTAAATTCCATTTTATAGTAAAATCAACAACAAAATTTATAACTTTGAACCTTTACAAGAAAAATTTTAAATTAAAAAAAACTCTCTGATAGGCTATTAATTGAGCGTTTGGAAATAAATCGCGGAAAGATTATTCTCATATCCTGATTAAAGTTTATCTAAATCTTCAATAATGTTTTGGATATATATGTGTAACATTAAAAAATCCGCACATACAGTTCACTCTCTCTATAACGAACCCTCTGTCCCTATATGTAATTTCTCTGCTTTTAGTCGTTATAGAGAGAGAAATTAATTATAAAAAATTGAAACGGGGACAAAAGGGAAGTTTGTTATAGAGAAATTTACTTAGTGGTCGTTATAGAGAGAGTAGACTGTAGTAGAAAAAGTGATGCACAAAAATTCACTTCATAACGGTAATATTCTTCAATTAAATTTATTCACGTAATGCAGGCAGGCTTGGAATTATCAATTCTGGTGATCAATCATCTAAATCAATTAAAAAAAGCATATATAGTAAGAGTATCATCATATTCAGCACTTGAAGTGAACCATACATACACAATGGCATCATCCAATATTTATAGTTAATTGTAAAACAAACCCTAAAAATCAACAAGAAAAAATGAGTTATAAAAGAAAAAGAAAATCCCTGTCCCTAGTAAACTAAATATAACATATAAAATTTGTCACACCCAAAAGTTATTAAGATTTAACATCTGGAACTCAAAAATAGGTGCTGAATTGGTTGTTATCAGTTGCAAGTAAAGTATTAGTCTTGGTATTAAAGTCTTTCTTTATGCATCAGCCAATCACAGAGAAAGCCCACTATAAAAACTGAGATTTTGTAAATATGTATGGTGCATAGTGTTGGTTTCCAAAACTAGAGAGTTTCGCAACTGTGCGAAAGTTAAAAGGTTTCGCCATAAGTCGAAACTAGTTTTGATTTTTGATTATTGATTTTTGATTTAGTTTTGACATATAACTTTTAATTTTAGTTTTGACTTTCCTTTCTTCAAAATAGTTTTGGCGACCAGCACTAATGGTGCAGTCAAATTTCAAAGATCAATAGGTAATTACACTACATATTTTCCAAATGCTTGATATGCTGATTTAATAATTATTCTAGAGTATATGTACATGTTATAGTTGTTTGCCAATATTGTTTATGGAAAAAAGTAATTATGGCAGCTTTCCATGTTAGACTAAAGAGTTCAAATAATTTCGTATATAAATTCGGCAATGTTAAAATTAATTATGCTACTACTACTAATATAAACAACTTTTTCGACATCTTAGATTCGACTAACATCCATGACAAAATGAAAGTCGTATGGCGCAAAGCTCAAAGTGCAATTTTTCAACTAACCAAAAAACAATTTCTGGGAAATATTCTTTAAAGTAAATGTTTTCTGTGAATGTAATTTTATTTTCTTGTAAATGCTAATGCAACCAACCGCACAATAATTCGCCTTGAACTTTTTTTGATTGGCTGAGAAACCGCGTCTTACATCATGAATTGCGTCTTGCGTCATGAATCGCGTCGCGTCAGTTGCATATATATTAATATGGTAGTGACGCAATGTCAAATTCTTTGATTTTTAATTGCGTTATGACTCAATTCAATAATTTGGCCACATAGAGATGCTGTGAAAATGGGATAAAATTATTATCAAAGTAATTTTTCTAAATATATATAGAAATCAAAATTTCTAAATTGAGAATCAGAAGATCTTACGGTGCAATTGGTCAACTTCAAAATACTAAAACAAAAAAAAATGATCTCACTTTAAAAAATTTAATCGATAAGTTTAATTGTTCATGACTCAAGCTTCAAAAATTATCGGCTGGTTTTTTCTTAAACTGAAAATTGGCTGAGCTTAAGCTTTAGCATTTTGAAAATCCCGAATTTTGTTATACACTTAAGGAATTAAGACTAAGTAAATTTCGTGTAACAACTTTTTTTTTCATATAATATTTTCTACAACATACATTTGATTTATTTGATTTATTTATTTCCTTTTTTTATTAATAAATAATAGTTATTTACAATAAAAAATGTTTAACGAACATATTACGTTAAAAAAAATCATTACCAAAATATTGTAACACGAAAATTATTGTTGTATTTCTGAGCATATTAACAATTTTGTCAAGATGCTCTATTCCTTTTTTATAACATGTGAACATGAGATCATAACCATCTCTTGTCAATTGGGCGGTGTTTTTGGAACAAAATGGAATTCCCAGGTGAAACATCTTTGAAAATTTTTAGAAGTTCATCAGCTAATTTCCACATAGCTTGTTTATGTTCATTCACAGTTTTTGTGTTTCTACTTACAACGCTCTCATCAACAAATTCATCATGTAACATTAACATATGTTCTCTTTCAGACTGGACAGTTTTGATAAGCTCTTTCAAATTATCAGAACTTTTTACTTGCCCTGGGAGGTTTTGCTTGACAAATTTGACACCAAATATCTCAAGAGCCTCACTATAAGCTAGATAGTGATTCTACTTGGTGAGGTTAATTGAACCAGCAATTTGCAGTCGTTGTTGGAGTTCTGGATTTCTGCTAACATGAATTAAAAATCTACATACAGATTCAGCACATTGGCTTTTGCCAGTAAATTGGAAAAATTGGAGCAAATCTTTCTAGGCTTTTTAATTGTAAATTCATGTTTCCCATCCTTATTCCCGTTTATGTAACTTTAATAATCCAGACCATTCATAATACATTAACCGCACTTTAATATATCTATAGTGCTAACATCATTTTGTTTTTTATATAGATTGACTGCAATTCCAACTGCTGCCCAAATTAATTCAAGAACTCGAAATGTTGTTCTGTAATCTCATCAGGAAATTAATTTAGTGTAAACTTGCATAAATCTTACAATGCCGATGTAATATTGTGTAAATCTTACAGTGCCGACGTAAGTTTTACACTTTTTTATTATTAAACTTACAATTGACACGTGTAAAATTTTTTTATATTTTCTGGATGCTACCACCCATTCCAATTTATCCAAGTACTTTGCATCAAGGGCTTTAGCTAATCCAAATATACCATACCCAGAAAAAGTAGAAATCAAGGTATTACACATAGCTTTGTTGGTGTGCCATTGTCCCAAAATACAATTCAAGGATTGATGAGGATTTGAATAATCATTTAATCGCTAATAAATTGCTTAATCACAGGCCAAATCTAAAGTACCAGACATACCAAATCATTTAGGTACATATCACAAGATTCATGCACATTAGGATTGGAATTTGGTTCTGGGCCTCTGTCCAAAATTACAAGTGAGACATCAAAAATATTTCCATAAGAATATGTATGTTCACTGATGTCAATATTGTCAACCACAGCAAGATTCCAAACATTTGGTCCAATTTTAAGTCTTGATGCTAGTACAATATTTGATATATGTTTTTGATGAATCCTAGATTCATGATGCTTTGGTGTGTGATTGGGGGGTCCAATACCATATGTGTTATTTAATGGTAACAAAAATTACCCCTCAATTTTTATATGTAGACCAATAAAAATTTAATTTCTAAATGGTTTAATGACAATAAATAGTATCAGATTGGAATAAAACTTTTTCTCAAAACAATTATTGTGTAACAATATTTGGCTTTATTCTAATAAAAAAACAATACATTGCAAGTAAAAAGTTTATGTGCTGAATTTAAAGAAGTTAAATTCTTTATTTCCTTGATATTAATTGAGGCTTTTATATTCACTTTATTCAATTATGAATATTATGAATTAAAATTTAGTATTAAAAAATGATCTGCAAAGAATTTTAAAATAATTAAAACAAAATAAAATTCAAAGTCTTATAACTTTTAAACCATTAAATATATTGAAGTAAGATTATGTTTATTGAATTATTTTCATCATGGTCTTTAAAAAAATGAAGCCCCCTTTTCATTTTTCTTAATATTAATTAGGTTTTTGTAATAAGTTTCTACCTTAATTTATATGAAATTAAAAAAAAGCTCTTCATTTTTTTATTGTCCTATGGTTCAAATATATATATCCTTAATTTGAAATGTGTAACATATTTCCTTCAGAAGTTATACACTCACTGGTCATAAATATAAGGACACTTGCAGATCATCAGAAATAATTGAACAAAGAAACATGAAAAAAGATAAATTTTTATTAACCTAACAGCATTTGCATATTAAGTAAAAATTCATCGCCATATCAAATAGTATAGCATACTGAAGTTTCGCTGCATATAAACAACAACTCATTGTTTTACGAACTTTAAAAAATAAAAATGAATTTTTCAGAATTTTCAAAAAAATCTTTAACTCGAAAATTGACCACAATGTCAAGTTCTAACGACCTTTGCGGTATAAGTAAAAATGCGTCTTATGTTTGAATCTAGTTATATCCAAAATTCTAAATCATTTAGTAAAATAATTAATGAGAAAAAAAAAAATAAAATGTATATAGAATTTTGACTTCTATTTAAAAAAACAAAAAAAAAGGGGGTCGTATAGTAAAAAATTCGTCCAGGGGGGGGGTCTACAAATTTTTAAATTTTTGGACCAAATCTGGACCAAATTTCTGTCCGTTTAAGGGATAAGAGTTTGAGTTTTACATTTTTTTCACCATTAAAAAATCCTTAATAATGAAAATTAATATATGGCTTCATATATGTTGTAACACATATGATATTGGACCCCTCAGTGTGTGATGCAACCTGGATTGTCTGCAAGATTGAATAAAGATAAGGAAGAAGTTTTGAATTTTGGCAAAGTAATGACATGATTTGTGTGAACCAAATCTTTGAAAAAGGAAAAGCAAGTGTCAACACTACTGGTGCAAAAAATGTGGTGATTTTTTGAATGATGGAGTTATTTAATTCTGGCATGGAGAGTTTATGTGTTTTCTTTTTCTTTTAACTATTTCATATTTTTTTTGTTGTAAGGTAGTGATCATCAACCCACTAAAAAATGAAATGAGATTTTTTGGCATTGCCTTATGGTACTCATCAAGAGACTCTGGATTTTCTAATGATTGTTGATTTTCTTTAACTGCGGTATGTGATTTCCAAACTGAGAGTGCCAAATTTTTACCATAATTTTCAAATGTGTCTGGATTTAACTGACTTACATCAGGAAATTTTCCCCACCGCAATATTATGTCTGTAAATTTTAATATGTAAAGTTGTAATATTTGCATAAAAATTATGTAATATTTACACTCGATGTAATAATTTCATAATTTTGTATGCTTATTTGCATAATATTACGGGCCCGCCATAAACTTACATAAATAGTGTAATAATTATGTAAATCTACATCAGAAAAATTTCCTGATGTATTTCTGTGTCATAATTTTTTTAATGCAAATACTATATTTAGAAGAAAAAAACTTGGGATTATTTGGTTGTCAGAAGATATTGTTACTGCAGAATCTGATGATGTTGTTCCTGAAGATATTTCATTGAAATCTTTAATAACATTGATTAAATGATTTAATAGATTATTTTTTGCATTATTATCAGTTGATAATGCAATGTCATTAATAAACTTAGCAATAAGTTTTAAAGAAGATGTAGAATCTCCATTATGCTTCTCACTCTGAACACAAGAAACTGGGTTTTTTTCCAGAACCTGGTCTGGCATGAAGATGTCCACATATGATGCCAAGCAATCCGTGCAAATATATCTAACATGTTGCATATTTTCTGGGATGCTAGATAAATTTGGATATGGAATTATTACTGGACAATCATGCAATCCACGACAAGGTATTTGAATATTCCGTCCACAAACAGTCCACAAATGTTGCTGACAAGCTCCTCTTGAATAAAAACATTTATATTTGTTATAGAGTAGACATTTTTTTGTGTATAGTACTATTGGAGAAGGGAAGAGATGCTTTGATATGAGATTCCCCTCTCAGAGGATTGTGAAGTGCGTTTTGATTATAATTTAAATACTCCAAACACACACCTAATTTCTCAACATTATCTCCGACTTCTTTTACAACATCTGAGTCAACTTCAAAAGAACCAACCAAATTGTAAATACTTCTGTTCTTACCAGACTGATTACACTGTTCAATCATCTCTGGATTTTTGTCATAATCAATAATTACACATGATGTTACTTTAAACTTATCTTCTTTAGGAACTTCTTTATCAAATTTACATTCATTACTCATCTCTACATCATTATGGTCATCAAAAGCTCCATCAAGGCATTCATCATCTATATAATCAGCATTTATATCATCTTCAATTCAGGGAGATGCACAAATTATTATACAATTACAGGCTCGGTTGGATACTGCAAATAATAATTTCGATCTTCTTAATCATGCCCATAATTT